AGCTCAAGTTTCTGAAGCGCATCGAGAAGGAGTACCGCAGCAGCGGAAATGCAGACATTCACGTTCCTCTCATCCAAGCTGGCGGAGTGGAGACGGTTTCAGCTGGCGACATGGTGGCAGTGCCCTTGATGACAGATGCAGTCTATTGAAAGTTCATAGCAGAGCGCTTTGCTATTGTCAACAACCTGCCAGCGCTTGATATTGCAGACGGCGAACAGCAGAGCAAGCAGCCCCTACGCAGCGGTGGCATCGGCAACAACAGTCAACCGCAGGTTTCCGCGCTGCCCGTCATCAACGAGGACAAGTGTCTTGTGACTAGCAATGCTGCTGAGAAGCAGCGGCTGGATTGCGCTTCGGCAGCTTACTGTGCTGGTGACTACGCCATATGTCCAGCCATTGGAGTCTGTTGAGAACGCCGACGAGTTGATTGTGATGCTTGCCGACGCGATGCGCGCGCATGGCTGGGTTCTGGAAAAATGCCGTTTATTCCATTGTGATATTTCGTCCAACAACATCATGATAGAACGCAAAAAGGACGCCGATGGCAACTTGTCGGCCAATGGCATGCTCATCGACTTTGACTATGCCATCGACCCTGACACAGAGTGCATTATGCGGTCCGAGCGCACGGGCACGCTGCCATATATGAGCGCTCTAAACCTCGAGGAGCATGCTAGTTGGCGCACCAAGCTTGATAACTGGGAGTCGCTGCTCTACGTTTTGTGTTGGCAAGCGACATTTGGAATCAACTGTGGCAATAGGAAGGTATTGGAAATAGCGCGCAAACTAATGAACGACAATGAATTGAAGATTCTGGATTGGCGCAATAGAAGAACCATGAAAGGCATTTCGAGGAAGAAGCGCCTTCGCCTGAATAGTCTCGGATCATTCATCACTGCAATTACCAGCAGGATCTGGAACCGAGATCAAGACAACGTACGTGCTGGCTATTTATTCTTGCGAGTGTTGGCTGAAGAGCTGTATAAGGCAATGTTTCAGAACGAGGGTGTCGACAAGTGCTGCTGGGGTGCGATTATCTCAGAGTCGCTTGAACTTTTGCAGAATCCTGTTTGGCATGGTACTGGCGGCAGCAGTCTCAATTATGTTCTTCAAAACATGTCACTCGCGACACGGGGAACCTCTGTGGTGTCAGCAAGCGAACCATCATCGACAGTCTCGTTAGGGTTATTGAGCAGCATGCGGCTCTGGCAAAGATGCGAATGGCCGCAACACCAGTCACATAGCCTGTGGTGTACTTTTATGAGGTCGTTGTAATTAACATTTATATGAACCAAATATAACTGGCAAATCTCTTGCCCGTACCATTGACATTATAGCTTATTTACACCAGCATTTGCTGATAATTCAACACCAAAGTACACGCAAATACCAATCATTTGACTGATGAACATCCCATTCTGTCAGCGCTCGCACTTGGTTCTCTGATACTCCGTATATGAAGTCAAAAACATCGGCTTTGACTGTTTCTCCTCTTCCAACAAAAAAAACACTCGTGGAGAGCTTCTTTATCGTTTTATTAAGAGTATGTATTTCCAACTCGCGACAAATCGAGCCAGCAACTACACTGCCACCCACTGAAGCTTACATTCACGAGTTTTTAGTAAATCTGCGACCTCCGGGGATGACGCGACAGGTGGAGCGGTACCTGCTGGTGTACCCGGAGCTGAGCATGAGGCGGTGCTCGAAGGAGCACAAAGGGACAGAGCAGGAGACAATGGAGCATATGCGGATGTGCGCGTCGGGGGACACGTGGCCGAAGAGGCAAGAGGGGAGGACAACAGTGGACGTGTGGATCTGGGACCACGCGTCAGAAAGGACGAGCTTCGTGGGCATTGGCACCGCGGACTGGGCGAGGGCGAGTGAGACGCTGGCGCGGGGGCTGCAGGCCAGCGCGCAGGGGAGAGTAATGGAGGCCAGAGTGAGACAGCTGGTGCAGAGAGCCTATCAGCAGCGACTTGGGTACGTTAGGGAGCGGTGGTGGCATCGCAGCGAAAGCCAGATAGGCCGGGAGGAGGATTCGAGGATATTGCAGAGCAAGAGGCGACGGTTGATGCGAATTGAGCAGCCAGTTCTCAAGGGCGAGGATGACGGGGTACCAGGGTGGTCGAGGACGATGCCGCCGGGTGATGTTTTTATGTTGTTTTTTTACGCGCGACACGCGCTATCAGGACGGACGGGTAGGCCCCATCGATTGAGTGAGTAGTTTAATTACTATATGGCCGCAATGAGCAGTTTATCTGCTATCTTTAGCTAGTTTTTGCACTAGAGCTGCCCATATTTATAGCTGCACCCACGCGGGGAATACAACAGTTTCATCATCTTTTCCCAACTACAGCAGTTTTATTGTCTATTCTTGCTCGATAACAATGCTTTCGCCATTTCAAACACTTCCATACCATGTCGTAGAGATGGTTGTTACCCATGTGTATGGCAGCAGTCGCTTGCTTTTTGCTGGCTATAAGGACGAACCCAAAGCTAGATCAAAGTTCTTGATGCCTCTGCTGTGGACCTGCCGCAACTTTCGTTTTGTTGTCTACAAGCACCTTTGTGGTCGCTGCGAAATGCATTGATATCCAGCCTTATGATATTCAGCCTTATATTGCTCATCCAGTACACATCTCATGGCCTGACCGGCACCAGTGGCTCGACAAATCTGCTTGCTCTGCGGCGAAGGAGCTGACTATCAAGTTTAGCCACCAACACATGTTTGACGGGCAAATACTGCAGCTGCTGTCCAGTGAGCCATGTTCTTGTATTGTGTTTTCGCAGGCTCACGTGACTGACTTTCAGTTGGAGTTACTGCCGTCAGGATCAAAGCGTGTTGCTTTGTCGTCACGAACTATTAAGCGCAACATTCGGGAGTTTGTGCAGTACATTAGACGAATGGCACCAAAGATTAGAGACATTAAAATTCAGTTTCCAACTCTTGACCGATTCTCGCCGTCTGATGTCCGTTATTTTGGCGACTTGTTTACGCAGATGTACCTGTTTAGTTGTTGCACTATAAGGATTTCGTTCTTTACGGAGATGACGATAGAGCTACGAGCCGAGCTGTTTTGCGAATTGCAACACCTTAACATCTCTATCCTGCCCCGTAGTATTGGCGAGTTTGCGCACCTTGCTCGTCATAATGCCCCATCTTTGCAATCTCTAGAGTTCTGGGCAACGCTGCAGTCAGGTGTCAGGGACCTTATTCAGGACTCTGAGGGCAACGTTTTTGTCTATCCGCAGCTTCAGAGGTTAACGCTAACAAATGAGCTCAGTCATATTGAAGTTGCTGGGCGACCAGTGCTTGACAACGTGGCGCCGTTTCCTCGTCTTCGGAGCTTGAAACTACGCTGCGCTTATCCATTTGGCGACGATTTGCCTTTCCGAGGAAATGCGGCCACGCTTGAGGCTTTGGATATTTGTTTGGACAAAGCAACTACCAACATGCTTTGCACACGCAACGTGTTTACTCCAACCAGCCATCCGAAGCTTTGGCGTGTCTGTACTAATATCTTAGTATCTAGGCATCTACTGTCCTACACTGCCATTTTCAACATTTGGAAATTTTCGTTGGGAATTTCACCTGACGCACCAGAGCGCAAAATCATTGGCTTTTATATTTGCGATCCGAGCTACTCTTTTTGCACGAGGCCTGAATACCATCACAATATTCGGGTGTTAACGATGCTAGACGTTACCGCAGAGCTCACAGATATGATCATCTTGGTCAAGTCGCTTCCACTCCTGACGGATTTGAGTATATCATCCTTGACTCTGGAACGTGATCTTTGCGATATTTCATTGAAGGCACTTCCGGAGTATGTGTTATCAACCTACTCTTGTGCGAGCATTCGACTCAAGTACCTCCGCGTTATCGACTGGCATATCGTCAATGAAGACAATATGTGCATCAAGTGTATCTTGTTGATGGCGTTGGCTTGCCCCAACCTTACCTTTGTGGCACCTCACCCTGGCAGGAATGGCGTGTTTATGAAGTTAATGCAGAATACCATTAATTCAGCACCATTTAAGAGATATGCACCACGATTGGAGCGTTTGCTAACCGACGACTACTATGAAAAAGTATATCGGTGGATTTAACATAACTTTTCAATTAAATGAAATTTGACTTTAAACTGTTGAGATTCCTTGATTGCTTTGGACTGCGTGACTTGCGATAGGACTCATTTATTATATGCAATGCACATTATTACGTTTGTTGTTTTAATTTTTTTCACCAGTGCATAGTTTTTCCAAGACGCCCACCTTCGGTTGAACTTTTCTTTATCATTCCTACTATATATTTTATTGCTATTAACGGTAGTTTATTTGTTAACCATCTGTTCTTGTCAGATGTGCCAAAGTATATTTATACAAAGTAGTTGTTCAACTCTAGCACACACAAATGTTCATCAACAACCATTACTTGGCCGCATACTACTATTTTCATAAATGGCACATATAAAAGCATAATTTATATAAGCTATGAATTATTTGCGTTCTTTGACGTCAAAACTTACCATGCTCAAATGCCGCGTCAAGTACACAATCTATGCAGCGGGCGCTTTATGCTGCTATATCTATGCCATATCGGTGTTTGAGTGTTTGAATGATGCAACAAAGATAGCACCACGGCACATATATTAGAATAGCAAAAGCAATGCACGCTGAGCTCCTGGCTTTGCATACTTGCCTAACCACCAGAAGCATAGTAATTATATTTTTAACACGCGCAGTATCGACGCACAAGCCAGCCATTTATCCGATGCAGTAAGAACGCTGCTGGGCCTGGAGGTGGCCGAGAGAGCCTAGTGCATATTTGACAAAAGTTGCTAGTGTCTCGCAAGCGCCAACACATACGCATTGTTTGGTAGAAACTGGAAAAACATTGGCTATTCAGCTGCTTTCTTCAGGGTGCAAAACAGGGGGCTGCTGACTGCACGCGCCCTCATTCGCAAGAAAAAGAAAGTAAAGCCACGGGCAAAAATCTGCGTCGGCTACAGGATTCGAACCTGTGCGTGCGTAGCACAATTGATAGTCAGTGCAACGGACAATCCGCTGTTTCTAATCAATCCCATTAGACCTCTCTGGCAAACCGACCCTCTAACCATTCAGCCAGTATTTTACAAGCTAAAATAACATACAATTCTAGTGATTTTCTGCTACTACCAGTTGCTTACGCTGTGTGTCAGTTGGCTTAACTGGCCGGCGAGTTGACTTTCTGCCAGCGCACGTTGCTGCGATGGGCCGAAACAGCATATTAAACTGTTGAAAGTCATCCTGCATGTTCTTTTACGCATTTTACCAATGGCCTTGGAGCCACGACGCTGCAGTGCTTGAACAAGAAGCACTTCTTTCTTTTTTTTCCGAGACTACAGTCTGGCGAGTCTCGCTCCCAGGCAAAGAGCACTTGCCAGCATGCAAGTGCAAAAGCTCCACGTAGACTCGGCTGAGCACACAATTTACGTATACGGCTGTTTGTTGTTATTCGAGATTGTGCAATTATTGCTTAATTCACGCCAAAAGACATGCGCGCTGCGGTCAATATTTGACTGAAAACGTAATCCCGAGACTTATGCGGCCAACTCTCGCTCATGCCCTTGCTGAGCGCCGCTTGTTACTGACACATATCGAGCTGCTGCTCAAGTGGCTAGTATCCCCTCCGGGCATACCAGTTTATTGGGGCCAGCAGACTATGCACTCTGCAGACTTGCTAAAGACTGCCAAAGACAAGCGCGCCCTATTTTTCTTACACATGAATCACAGTATCTGACACACCACAATGCACTTTGTATCGGCCGTTCAAGCTGCCGAGTTTGTTGCAATATTCAAACCGATAATTTATTTTTGTGCTCTTTCGAATATATGCCACCCCAATAGGAATAGCCAGCAAAGCCATGAAGCTACTTCAAAGACATGCTGCTCAATATCTTCTTAGCACCGCCGATAATAATTGATGCATATTCCTTCTTTGTTTTGATGCAGAGAGTCATTGCCGCTCAGCCGAAAGCAATGCACGGTGGACACTATTCTCCACAAAACACAACAGCTGGGTGGCACGCCCGATGCCATTGGCTTGCATAAATTAAAATATAATATTTTTCTTGTATTGCAGCATAAACTCACTCTGTCTGAATTCGCCTTCGAGTGAGCGTGCGCTGCAAAATTGGCTCTCGTGTGCGTGCTTGTGCTTGCACCGATTGCATTGTCGAGTTTTGACGTTTTTAGAGTTTCAATGGAGATAAAAGCAAACAATACTGAACACTGTGACCGTTGGGGAAGGCCAGATAATAATGAGTAGGATATATCTAGCAACAAACGGCCAAATAAGGAGGTGGGGGAATTGAACAAAGACTACTTTGTCAGGTCACTGTGCCCGGCTGAACCAGTATTGCGTAACAATCACACTATACCCGACACCAACGCACAAGCGCCAGAATAAATATCAAGCGGGCGGAGTGCTGAGTAGAGATGTTGCTGCGCGTGATTGCTGCAGCGGTTGATTTTTGTGCGCCCATGCATTGCAGCGGGACCCTTGCGTGTGGTTGGTGAGCGAGAGTTGCAATCAGGTGTAGTGTGGCAGAGCACTCGATGTATTTACTATTAATATGTCCACTACCCGAGCAGCGGGAGCATGTGCCCCCTCTGCTTCCACCCACGGTGAGAAAGCGAGAGGTGAAGCGCCAAGCGCCGCAACAATGGTGGAGAAGTGTGGGCATTGTGGTTCAGAAAGGGGCAGTTGTTTACAGTAAATGGGGGGAGTGGGCAAGCGAGCAAACGACGGCTGCATGATGCGGGGAGGCGAGAGGGAGGGGGCAGAGTGGACACCAATAGTGCGCAATAGAGTATGTGTAAATCCTTTCTTTTCCTTCAAAGGAGCACCTACAATGGAAAAAGGATCCACCGCCGACTCCCACCTCCCGTCCCGCACGCCAGATGGGGGAGGAGGTGTTTCTGTAAACAGTGTGGGCAGGCAAGGATCACCAGCAGCGGCAGGACGGCTGCAAATGCCCACCTGCCCTTGCTGCAATCGCCTGCGGGGGAGGTATCGCGTACACACAAACATTCCTTCCTCGCCCTGCAAAGGAGCGCGCATATAAGCAAACACCCCCTCTCCCTCTTGCAAAGGAACGCGCGGTGTTGCAAAGGTTCATTTTTTCTCTCCCTCTCTTTTTCACGGCATCACAGATACTCGTTATTTCGGCACATTATTGCATCTAATATTCTTTATTCCTTTCGCATAGCACGCGCATACAAGCATCAACAACATTATTCTCCTATGGCTGTTGCAGTTCCTGAAGAAGACAGCTGGGTAGTGGTGGACAAGACGTCGGGCGGCACGCTGCGCGCAAAGGCGAGCCACGAGTCGCTGAGTGGCAGCGACTCTGAAGACGACGGCAGCGGTCTCGGCGGCAGCGGTGGCGGCAACAGCAGCAGTGCGCGGGTGCACGTGCGGGGGTCGCAGGCGACGGGGTCCGAGCTGCTGGAGTGGATAGGCCGCGAGGCCAGCGAAGCAGCCACAGGCCAGCGCAACTCGTTGGCCTCCAAGTGCTCGTACCGCACAAACAGCAGCTCGGCGGGCGGGCGGCAGAGGAGATCGTCGAGCGTCCACAGCGGCAGCTCAGAGTCACTGGAGGTGGCGAGCGACGCTACCGAGGGTACCTTTGTTGTGCGCATAGTAGAGGTGCGGCAGGTCGGCGCCACGCGGCCCATTAACGTGCAGTGCGCGGCGCAAGTGGGCGAAGAGCGCATTGTTATTCCGCACGTAATGACGCGACCCAAGGACTACAACACTTGGGCCGCGCGCATGGACGACACCTTTGCCTTTGACGTTACCCGGCCATTTACCTTTAATCTGGGTGTCTACGCCACGCCTGTGGCGGCGCCGCCAGCCCAGCGTGCCGTGGGGCTGCTGCCACACCGCCTGTCTCTGGCTGCGCGCCGGCATGTGGGCCGCAACAGCATGGCTAGCGACTCGGCGCCGTCGCTGGCGCCATCGGGCAGCTCGACTAAAACCACGGCCAAGATTCGCGCCGGGTTCCGCCGCTTCTTTGGTCCACGCCCCGGAGGCGAGGCCGAGGCAGCCTACGTCGGCTACGCAGCAGGCGGCTCTGGCGCGCTGGGCTTGGATCCCGTGGTGTCGGCTGAAACCACGGACGACCATGGACGCCGCATCGAAGTGCAGCAGCACGCAATTCCGGATCCCATTCAGGCCGAATCTGAGCTGCCTGACCTTCAGCAGGCGCAGCCGCCCCGGCACGCGCGACTGACGACGCTGTTGCCGAACCAGTCTTCCCACCACCGCCTATCGACTTTGCTTCCACGTGCGCGCGCGGGATCGGTGGCGTCAGCCGCAGCGGCATTTGCCGGACGCGGACGCGCATCCTCGTGCGCATCAAACGCATCAGACATGTCCAGTGCTCCAGTTCAGGCTCAGCCAGTTGGCGAGTTGTTCCTGGATCTGCGACTGGAGAGACGTGAAAAACGACGCGCAACTTTTATTTTGCCTATTGTTAACCAGGAGCAAGCAGCCTTAAGAGGCGGCGCTCATGTGGAGATGTCGGTGGTGCTGGAGTTTGGCATCATTGTACGCGAGACTCCCGCTGAGCGTGCTCGTCGCCAGCAGCGTGCTGAGGCCCAAGAGGCTGCCGAGCTGAAGGCCGCCGCGCAACGTCAATGGGACGCAGCTGATGAGCGTGACCGTGCCACGCGTCTGCGCGGTCCGCTCAGCGTGTTTACGAGATCTGGTCGCCTGTCCACGTGGCGTCGGTACTGGGCTGAGCTGAGTGCCTCGCACGTGCTGTTTTTTGACAAGCCCGGAGACCACACTCCTGCATCCTCCATGCCTCTCCTCCATCTGTCTGGAGCTGGCGTGCCATCATCCGATCTAGTCAGCATTGGTCCTACCGGTATTGAGCTGCGCTTATCCCCGCAGGCCATGACTGACCGCCACCGCCGTACATCGGCCTACCCACGGGGACCCGTGGACCGGGACCGTACATTGACGTCGGCGCCCAAATACGACAACAGTGATGCTGAGCTCGATGACTGGCAATGTCGCGTCTACCTACTGCTTGATAATTTGCCTGACCGCGACCGCTGGCTGCACGAGCTTTCCGCCGTTGCAGTGCCTAGCGCCGAACGCGCTCGGCAACGCATGCAACAACGTCGCGCTGCCTGCATCTCTTCAGCGGACGACACCGAGTCCCTGCGACTATCAGGCAAGCACCTACAGGTGGTTGCAGCCGCTCAGGCGCTGGAGAAGTTGTCTTTGGCTCAGCATACTGCCTACGCCAAAAAGGTCTTTGTTGACTCTATCGGTCACCGCGTAGTGTCCATGTCAGCCGTCGGCGTGCCCCACGACCTCGACGATGCCACGCTCATTCCACCCACCGCTGCTTCTGCTGCCAGAAAACCCGTGGCTATGGCGTTTGGCAAGCCCGCAACTTTCAGCTTGTCTATTGCTCCCGACTCTGCTGCTGCCTACCAGCCTCCACCAGCCAAAAAGCGTTTGCGTGCAAGACGTCGTTCCAATAGCACCGCCGATATACGCCAACAGGCTGGCAATAATAGACGCCCGCCTTCGTCTTCTGACGACGAGGCACCGACTGCCGTTGCGACCTCTAAACCGCTCAACCGCAAAGGCTCGACTGTTCTAGAAGTCGTTGGAAAGGCTATGGAGCGGCGCCCAGGAACCGTCAGTCGTCGTTTCCTATTTGTATGGAACGTAAACGAGATTTAACCAACTCCCCCTTACAACCACCACTTCCACCACCTTACATTAAACACGCGTCAATATTTCTTCAAAGCGGCTTTTTCTTCATTTTCTTTATTACAATCAAATTCATTTGGACATCAACTATTCCGTGGTGCTTATAATCGGTTTGACTCGCTTGCTCCGACAGGCCTCTCGGTAGGCCTGCCGAACATTGTCAATTTCCTCCGGATGATTGCGAGAGGTTTTGCCACGAAACAGGATCTCGTCCAGCTTTTGGTTTACGCCCAACCGACAGATCTGCCGATCGTTGAACCACCTGTAGACTCTCTCCGGCTTGTTCCCCCTAAACAGCCGCACTAGGGTGGTGCGTCCCAGCACTGCT